ATAAATGCTGATCTATCCACGTGTACCCATTGTGTTCAACTGGCATGACCTCCTTCCTTCCCCCCATCCCTCCCTCGCATTGATGCTTTATAAATGTATTAGGGGCTGAATGATGTCACCGTAATGCGTTTTGGGAATAACCATGTGGTTTATACACACTTGAATTGCTTTGAATGCAAACCTGACATCATACTGAAGGCAGCAACGAACAACATATGCACAGTAAACAGGCAGAGACTGTCTTATTGATTAACAGATGAGGCCTCTATTATTGATCAAAGCTTGGAGAGGAAATTTATCACTTTTAATTTCAGGGCTGCCAAATATTTCTGCCTCTGAGCCAGCCATTACAGAGACAATTTAAAGGCACATGCCTCCTTGGGAAGAGGGGGGTTCTGCCTCTCTCTGCTGGGCTCCTGTGCCCTGGAACTGCCTATCTTTGCTGCGGGGCTCGCCCTGGGGAGTTGGGGAGAGTCTCAGTGGGGGAGGGGGGGTACTAGGGCTTATATGAATGGGGCCTGACGTGGGAGCCAACCTTTGTGGTGTCCATGTGTGCTGAGGGTTCTGACCAGTCTGGGTGGGTCAGACTCTGCACTGACGAGGCCAGGGGACTTTCACCTACTCGGCTCGACTTTGTGACTTCAGCAAGGCAGGGGTGGAGAGGGGAAGCTCTGAGGGCAACCAGATGTGGTCAGGCTTGGGCCAAGCCGGCAACCTTGACTAGATCACGTGTGCTAATCTGTTTTTATCTTCATCTTGAACTTGTCTGATGGCACACATCCGGCCCTTTATTTCCTACCTGGCCTCCTTCCTTTCTCTCTGCTTCTCAGTCATTAAAACAGATGCTGCGATGGCCTTATTGATGGCTGTTTTCTAAGAACCCTCCGTACCACATCCCTTCAAGGTGGCGGCATAGAGGTTCCTCACCTGGTTGCAGGGCTCCTGCACGAGGCTGAGCTCCCAGGGCTTTCCAGCCCCTGCTTTCCTCCTTGGGCCTCCCCATCATCTTTCTTCTTTAGGGGGTCGTGAGAACTGTTTAGAACCAAAGGAAGAAATGCAGTTACAGTCCGATCCCTTACAAATCACAGAAAATCATTGCTGGTTAATGATTCAGGACTGGAGAGAGTTCCTCATTTCTAGAAGGCTGTGGCTTCCTCTACCCACCTCTGGTCCACTGTGCTCTTTGAGGTCCTGGCTGCATTTCCAGAATAAATGGATGAAAAGTGGTCCTGGCTGCCACCTGAGTGATCACACATTGTGAGTGTCTTTCCACTGAGTTTCTTCGAAAGCTCTTTCTTAAAGCTTTAGAAGCCACGTGCAGGTCCTTGGCCCAAGGATACCCAGCAGCTTGAAGAGATACCTGGAAGTGATCAAGACCTCCCGGTCTCCAGGAAAAACTCAACTCGAGACACCTAATACAAATGGCAGTATTTGTATTGAAAGCTCTTTTTAAAAAAAAACAAAACAAAACATTTTTTAAATTTTTTTTTTCAACGTTTATTTATTTTTGGGACAGAGAGAGACAGAGCATGAACGGGGGAGGGGCAGAGAGAGAGGGAAACATAGAATCGGAAACAGGCTCCAGGCTCTGAGCCATCAGCCCAGAGCCCGACGCGGGGCTCGAACTCCCGGACCGCGAGATCGTGACCTGGCTGAAGTCGGACGCTTAACCGACTGCGCCACCCAGGCGCCCCAACAAAACATTTTTTAAATGTTTTTATTTATTTTTGAGACAAAGAGAGAGCATGAGCAGGGGAGGGGCAGAGAGAGAGGGAGACACAGAATCTGAAGCAGGCTCCAGGCTAGGAGCTGTCAGCACAGAGCCTGGTGTGGGGCTCGAACTGACTGCAAGATCATGACCTGTGCTGAAGCCGGATGCTTAACTGACTGAGCCACCCAGGTGCCCCTGTGTTGAGGGCTGTTAAGGAAAAGTGACTCCATATCTTCCCTAAGGGCATTTTATCATTCATTTATTCAGTCAACTCATATTTATTGAGCACCTAGTAGAGGGTAAATTTTGCTCATCAGTAGACAAGGTCAGTGTCCTCACAGGGTTTGCCTTCTACCTTTCCTTCTGCCCTTCACTGGCAAGAACTGTTTATTGCTGTTTAAGCCTATACTGGTGCAAATTGTATTCTTAGTACTGTTCCTTATAGTACGTGCTATTACTCTAAGGCGGAGGTTTTTAAAACTTGTTAAAGAGTAGTGGAACCATTTTTCCAGCTAGAATTTTATGCAAAACTTTGATGTAGAAACGGGATGTATTGGAATTTTATTGTTTTCAGTTGGGGGGAGGAAGCCCATACCTCCCCTTCTTATCCATGAAGCATCTTTTCAGAGGGAGCCCTAGAGTACAGAGATTAAGAGCAGAGGGTCTGAAGTCAAGCTGCCTGGGTTTGAATCCACTTCTGGTGCCCACTGAGCAACACTGGTCAAGCTACTTAACCTCTTGGAGGTTCGCTTTTCTCATCTGCTGAACGGAGTAATAACAGTATGATCTTTTTTTTTTTTTTAATTTATTTTGAGATAGGGAGAGCACAAGTAGGGGAAGGGCTGAGAGGGAGGGAGAAAGAGAGAATCCCAAGCAGGCTCTGCACTGTCCGTGCAGAGCCCGATGCAGGCCTTGAACTCACGAACCGTGAGATCACGACCTGAGCCAAAGTCGGAAGCGTGACCCACTGAGTCACCCAGGTGCTCCAGCAGTTTGGACTTTTAAAAGCCGGCAGGATCAAAGGAGATGATACAGCATGCATCGTGCCTGCTGCATGGTAAAGCCTCAGGAAATCTGAGATGGTTGGAAAGCAGCACTAGCTTTCTACTACGAATATGTGTAAGAAGTTCTGCCTCTTACAAGACTAATATAAAAGTAACACACAGGCACACTCAAGGCAGTGCTCAGATGCGTAGAAAGGAGCACGGTGTGGGGCCTCGTGGAGAGGGCAGGGCAGAGCCCGTGTGCTCTGTGCGTGCACAACCCGTCTTGAGAATGGAACGGGGCAGCAAGAGACAGAACTGGGACCCAGCTGTGCTCAAACTCAGGGAGGGACGAGCGGCTCCCGTCAGGGCCGGTGAAGACGATGTCCGTGGGGCTGGGTGGCTAACCGCTCGGGCCTCGAGGTGACGTGGAGGAATTCAGAATCAGTGTAAATTTTGAGCCCTGTAGAACTTCTCGGGCAAAGAGTATGAAGGAAACAAGTAGCCTTTTAAGGCACGGGTATCTGTGGGGTGAATCAGAGGACATCTGGTGGTGGGGCAGCCATCCTTGAGTGTGCCAGTGTTCTGGGCACCACCTGGCAAGGGCCTGGGTAGGGGCAGTGACAGTACGCATCGGAAGAGATGCACCTGGAAGGTATTTTTTAAGGAGGGATAGATACATGTCCCCCCTTTTTAATATTTATTTTTGAGAGACAGAGGGAGAGCATGAGCAGGGGAGGGGCAGAGAGAGAGGGAGATACAGAACCCCAAGCAGGCTCTAGGCTCCGAGCTGTTGATACGGAGCTCGCACTCATGAACCGCGAGGTCATGGCCTGAGCCGAAGTCAGACGCTTAACTGACCGAGCCACCCAGGCGCCCCTCGAAGATACTTTGAATGAAAGCTGCCTAGGCTCGTGGCAGGTGCCCTGTGGCTGAATAAGATATCAGAGCCTTGAAGACCATGAGTGACTGGGAAAAAATCCCGTTTGTCTTGATCCTGTGGCCTTGGCTCTCTGAGCCTCGTAAAAATAATAGTTCTACAGAAGTTGATCAATTTGAATCGCACCGAATTGATTTTGTTTATTCCACAAATATGTCCAGTAATAGGGTCCCCCCCTGGGTGTCAGGAAGATACGGCTGTGTGTGGAGTGACACAGTCCCTCTCTTGGGAAGCTTAGAGTGTGGCAGGAGACAGGGACGGGTCCGCAGGCATTTAGAAGAGCGCATGGTGAGCCGTCGATCTGGAACATACAGGGTGCTGCCGGAGCGTAAGGAGGGGCTACGTCATCAGGGCGCAGGGGAAGAGGTTATGGACGCTGGTGCATATACTTGGTGCTAACCTGGGGTGGGAGTGAGCGACCAGAAGGTCAGACACAGGAGGAGTGGGAGGATGGGTGAGGCCTGTCAGTGAGGGAGAGCCTGGCTCCTCCAGGAACCAGACTGGCCGAGTGGACCGGAGACCAGGGAGCGAGAGTGAGGGAGAGGGAGAGAGATGAAGCAGGGAAGATGAGCGAATCAGGAAGTGCTTTGTGTGTCTTGGTGAGGAGGTTAGATTTTATCCTGAAGACACAGGGGAGTCGTTCAGGGATTTTTGGGTGGTCAGGTGCAGGGGGTGGTTGGGACAGACAGTCTAGTTTGGGACATACTGTGTTAGGGGCTATTCACGTAGAGGTACGTCAGCATTTCCTACCTTCCCATAAGGTGTAACCTAAGCAAGGGGGCCCATTTCCCCTCGTATTCTTTTTTTTTTTAATGTTTGTTTATTTCTGAGATGGGGGGAGGAGCAGAGAGAGAGAGAGAGAGAGAGAGAGAGAGAGAGAGAATGTCAAGCAGGGTCTATCCTGTTTAGCTCAGCACCCAACGCGGGGCTCGACCTCACAAACTATGAGATCATGACCTGAGCCGAAATCAAGAGTCAGACGCTTAACTGACTCAGCCACCCAGGCGCCCCCCCTTGTATTCTTTAGCCCTCTCTGTTCCTCACTTGGAGTCAGCCCCCGCCAGAATCCGCCTGCTTCTTGGGACATGTCATCTGGACCCCATCTCTCCTTGTGTTGGTTATTCTGATTTTGTTCCCTCTTCTCTCTGGGAGACCCCTGGATGGCAACATCTGGAGCTCAGTTGGGGGTTTGGTCACAACCTGGAGGAGGGGCTGGGCTGGCTGCCAGGGCCAAGGACTGTCCCTGCCTTGATCTCCGCAGGTGTCCAGCCACCTTCCCTAGTGTCTTTCTGCACGATTCTGGCCCAGGACCCCTTCCCCACAAATGGAATATCACTCTCATGGTAACGTCTCCCCTTTGTTCCAGCGGGTGCCAAAGCCTTTGTCTGTGACCAGTGCGGAGCCCAGTTTTCGAAGGAGGATGCCCTGGAGACCCACAGGCAGACCCATACTGGTGAGTTGACAGCTTCCCATCCTGCAGCTCCTCCAATGTGCCAGCACACGGATACCAAGGGGCTTGGCGACACCCTCTTTCAGCAAATGTGACCTCCATTCCTGTCCTGGGGAGCTGTGGGTGGGGATGGCTTGTGCCACAGTCAGCTACTCCCGTGTGTGGGGCCGGTTGGCAGGAATGTCCAAGTGTGACCTTGCCCTGTAAGAACAGCAGCCCTGGATGAGGCCCACCGTCTCTGCGTCTAACAGGCCACTGACGTCCCGTCTTCACAGAGCCCTCTAGCACATTCTTGTTGAAGTCTTAGAAGGTCCGTGATGTTACCTAGCATCCCCTTCCCTTGGTGAATGTTCGGGAAACCTCTCGCACTCCATCTGTATACCTCTGAAACCCTCAGTGGCCACAGGGGGCTGGTCTGCCATCTGTGAGTCGAGTCATTGTCTAAAAGAAAGCAGTGTGTACATATGACGTGTTCGAACCATTTAGCCGACGATGTCACTGTATTTGTTGTCAGAGCACTGATTGCATGGCATCAGTGCCCCTCACCACCGCCGTACTCCGTCTTCTTTGCTGTAGCTCAGTGCTGTACTTGACCTCACCTGGCCCGTCTTTCCGTAACTCTGTAAAGCGGGAGGCTACTCCCGTGTCATGGATGAGGACCCTGCGGCTCAAAGGAGGGTCAGTGACTTGCCCAAGTTAATAGTGGGGCCAGGAGTGTTGCAGCTTGGACAGCCTGGGTTTCTCCTTGGCTCTGACCTTCCTGTCTGTGAGATCATGGGTCTGTTATTTGAGTTTTTTTTTTCATGCATGTTTATTTTTCACAGAGAGAGAGAGAGAGAGAGGGAGAGACAGACTGTGCATGAGCAGGGCAGGGGCAGAGAGAGAGGGAGACACAGAACTTGAAGCAGGCTCCAGGCTCCATGCTGTCAGCACAGACCCCACTATGAGGCTCGAACTCACAAACTGTGAGATCATGACCTGAGCCTGAAGTCAGACGCTCAACCAACTGAGCCACCCAGGTGCCCTGATGAGTCCATTATTTAAACTCTCTTACTGTGGTCATGTCATCTGTTAAAAAAGTGGAGTCATGATAGTACCTACCTCCACAGCAGAGTATTGTCGTGGGGATGAAGTAAACTACTTTATTTGAAGTGCTTTGCAGAGTGTTTGGCCCATAGTAAGCATTTATTAAATAGGGGTAAATAAATGTATTTAAAATGTAGTAAATATTTATTGATTTCCCACCAGGTGCCTGGCATGCTTGTTGCATTTAAGGTGACATCCAAGACAGATAGCATTCCTGTCCCCTCGTGGCACTGAGATTCTAATAGGGAGACAGTTTAGGCAAATAAGTGTGTAATATAATGTCAGATGATAGTAAGTGTTAGTAAGAAAATAAAGCAGGATAAGGGGAAAGAGTGTGATAGGGAGAAAAGTGGTATTTTATATTAAATAGCTTGTCTTCTCTGAGAAGGTGACATCTGAGCAGAGTCCTGATGTGAGGGAGTAAGCCACTCAGAGGGAACAGGTGCTTGCTGAAGCCCTGAGGCTGGGCCAAACCTGACCAGCTCGAGGACCAGCATGAGGAGCAGGGGGCAGGGGAGAGGTGGCAGGGGGTGAGGTGCAGAGAGGGTTGGCACAGGAGGTCATAAATCAGGTGGGTCTCTCAACCCTAGTAAGGAATTTAGATTTTATTCTGCACATGCTAAAAGTCCACTGGAGGGAGATAAAACATTTGCAAATCACATACCTCATGAGGGACTTACAGTTAGAAAATATAAAGTCCACTTACAACTCAATAATAAAAATACAAATAATGGGCAGAAGATCAGCATGGACATTTCTCCAAAAACAGACAAACAGTCCATGAGCGCATGAAAAGATGCTCGGTGCCATTAGGCCATTGTAAGGGAAATACAAATCGAAGTGACAACGAAGTAGTTTTTTATACTTGGCAGGATGTGGCTGCGGTACAAAATGTAGGCAGTAGGAAGTGTTGGCGAGGACGTGGCGAAATCAGAACCCTTATACAGTACTGGTCAGCAGGTGAAATGATGCAGCCGCACTGGACAGCCGTCTGGCACTTCCTCCAAAGGTTAAATACAGAGTTACCATTTACGTAGCAGTTCTACTCCGAGGTGTCTATCAAGACACCTGAAAACCTATGTCTTCACAAAAACTTGCATGTGACTTTATAGATGCGTTATTCGTAATAGCCAAAAGGTAGAGATAACCTAGTGTCCGCGGATGGATGGATAGACAAAATGTCGTTTATGTGCAGAATGGAGTTTTATTCGGCTCTAAAAAGGGATGGGGTACTGATCACACTCTGCAACGTAGATGAACCTCACAAACGTGATGCTCAGTGACAGGAGCCAGTCACAGAAGGCTGCGTGTTGTGTGGTTTCATTGATAGGAAACAGCTAGAATGGGCAAATCTATAGGCAGAAAATAAATTAGCAGGTGCCAGAGGCTGGGCGAGTTGAGGAGACCTGGGGAATGACTGCTAATGGGTATGGGGTTTCCTTTTGGAGTGATGTCATTGTTCTAAAATTGATGGTGATGGTGGTGGCACAATTTGGAATGTATTGAAAAGTATCGAACTGCACAGTTTATTTTTATATTTATTTGAAGATTTTTTTATTTTTAAGTAATTTCTGTACCCAACGTGGAGCTTGAACTTACAACCCCGAGCTCAAGAGTTGCTCTACCGACTGAGCCAGAGGGCTCCCCGAACTGTATAGTTGAAATGCGTGAATTATGCGTTATATGAAATATATAAATGATACCTCAGTAAATCATGGCACCCTACATGCACCACACACAAATGCATGTGCATAGACATTTGTAGAAAGAAGGAAATAATGGTCCCTTGGAGGGTTTTGAGTGGGAGAGTGGCATGACTTGATTTATGTGTTTAAAAGTACACTCTGGCTCCTGTGTTGGGAATTGACCACGGTAGTTGCTGTAGTGAACTACTCTAACACTAGATTAAAGCAACAAAGTGTTATGATCTCTGACGATTCTGTGAGTTGACTGGGCTCAGCTGGGTGGTTTTCACTTGGGGTCTCTCACGAGATTGCAGTCAGGCGCTGTCTGGGTCTGGGGTCATCTGAGGGCTCGACGGGGCTGGACGTCCGGATGGCTACCTCGCTCACGTCTGTGACTCTCAGTGCTCTGCCATGTGGCCTTCCTCTATGGCAGAGTGGCCTGGACTTCTCACATGACAGCTCAGGGCCTCAGGAGTCTGGAAACATAAGCTGTCAGCTCTGTTAAAAGCCGGGCTAGAGACGTCTAGCATCGCTTCTGCCATGTTTTATTGGTCAAAGCAGCCCCAGACTGAAGGGGTGGGAGACTCGACTCCCCTTCACTAGGGGTAGTGACAAACACATACTGAGTGTTGTATGGCAGTCATCTTGGGAGACTGACTGCCAGGCTACCGCAGGGGACTAGCATGGAAGAAAGAAGTCTTTCCTGGTCTGCTGCTGGTACCATTACTTTCAGCAATATTTCCTCGTCCTGTGATCTCACAAAATCTGCCTTTCCTGAGTGGAAAACACGGTCTCGGTCTGTTCCGCCCTGGCCCGTGACGACTAGAAGAGTGCTTTCTAGGTGAGCATCTCCCTGGCTTGGTTATGGAAAAGGTGACTTGGCCAGGTGACTTTGACCAGGGTTCCAGACCTGGTTATCTTGAAAGCCAGGGGAAGACCCAGGTGTCCCCAGGTCCCAGCCAGCTTCTTAATGCTGGACCACATGAAGTGGAGAATCTCGCTCTGAGAATTCTGATCTGGGGCCTGTGGAGACTGAGTGGTGAGCCAGCTTTCCCAAACAGCTTAATCTGTCCACACAGATTAAATCAGCAGCAGGGAGCAAGCCACCTCTCAGCTGGGATCAGAGGAGGTGGCTGAGTCCCTGAGGGGTGAGCAGATGGGGGAGGTTATTGGAAAACAGGCCTCATGCACTTATTGAGCACCTTGTGTGTGCCTGGCACCCACTGCGGATACAGCAGTGATCATTACAGACGTGATTTCTATTTTTTTTCAACCCATTTTATGGAAATATAATTCACATACCATACAGCTCACCTGTTACAAGTATACAGTTTAATGATTTTTGGTATATTACACCATTTTTAGAATCGTGGCAAAATATCTATCACATAGAACATGCCATTTAATAATCATTTTTAAGCATACAGTTCAGTGGCGTGAATGCCATTTCAACCTATTTTTTTAGAATCTGGGTTGATGCGGCTTTGAAAGTTGGGAGCTGTCTTAGGTCCAATGCTTTTCTAGGATTTATTAAATTAAGTGAGTGAGGGTTTGAAAGTGGCCAACACCTTCCAGAAAAGGATATTTGTTTCAGTGGTTGGAAAGAGCCTGGAGTTTGAGTCTGAAGCCTGGGACGGGGCTCTGACCCTGCTCTCTGGGAGGTGGTTGACCTTGACTTGTTCCTCATCCTTTCTTCCCTAGAGGTCACCTCCCCTGAGAAAGGAAAATAGTGTGATCCTAACTATGGCAGAGGCGGGCCCGGCCCATCCAGCCTCACTTCCACTTTTTCTCCAGGTTGAGTCAGTGGAGCTCTTGAAAGGGGTGAGAAATGGGAAAATGAATCCAAATGAGGGATGACAGATGAAGGTGGGTGCTTCCGGAAAGGCTCCCCGCCCCCGCCCCGGCCTGGGCGTGAGCTGTGGGCCAGCTCCCCCGGTTGGCTGGGAGCACTGGGACACTTGCTGGTGCAGGCTGGCAGGCTGGGCTGCCTTATCCTTTGGCAAGGAGGTGACTCTTCTGACACCTGGTGGAGCTCATTTATAGTTGTGTTGCCTGCGGAACCCAGGTAGCTCCCTGGCCTCCCCTCAGAATCCCTGAAGGAACACAGCTTGAAATCTGTCTTCCGTTTCTGTTGTAAGAAAGGGGGCCCACGAGGTAGAGAGAGGCCTAAGTATAAGGAACACTGACAGTAACACTGAAGTTGCTGGATTGAGAGCAGCTGACTGCAGTGCC